TTCGAATCCCGTTGAAGCCCTGATTTTTTTCAGGCTTCTTCTTTCCAATTGCTTAAATTGGAAAATATACTGCGATGATCATTCTTCACTTTCGTAAGAACGTTATATTGATATTTACAGAGTTGTTAATTATGGCCCTAAGTAAGTGTAATTTCTCTTTCCAGTTTGTGGGAAAGGGTCAATATAAGGGTTTTTATCCTTAAACTTGGTAATTTCTTCACAGTTTCTTTTCCAGTGAATGGCCAGTGACTCAATATATAGTTAGTAATTAGAACGGCAGAAAATAATTCTTTTCTGGCCCACCCCATGGGACTTCAACTAAGGGTGGCATCAGAAAAATGAAAGTTACATTTCTTGCATCAGAACAATCTTACGAAGCCAAAAAAGTAATTTAAATGTCAAAAGTATCAAGAGAATTGCTCAGGTGTTTTTGTCTAGACTGCGTTTTGGTATTGAGCCAGACAACTGACTTCAGTCAAAAGCTCAGTTGGCATTGCACTTGGAAGAATCACAGAGGTCATGGGTTGCCTTGACATTCAATTCAGTCCTAAATTTTTTTTTTCAAGCTTTGTTTCTGCAACTGATAAATTAGCATGCATAAATAAATTGCGAAGATCTTTCTCGCAATGATATTTCATCATTTTTACTCAAGAGTGCTCTCCTGACTGTGTACAAGAAACTTGAAATCATTTGTATTGATGTCGTGGTTTTCAATCAAAAGGCTCACTTTTTGAGCTTCATGTATTATAACGGAGGGCTAGATTTCCATCTAGATTTCGCTACCTGCGAAACCGGCTCAACTTTCCCTTTAAAAAGTGTATGACCTCTTACCCATTCTATTGCAAAGTTTTGTTTCATCAGGTATAGTGAGACCTCAGAAACCAAGCTTTATTGACTAGGAGAGCCTGGATCACCTAAGTAATTTATGTCTGGTCTGACTTAGTGATTATTTTTAATCTGCTCATACATGAAGCGATGATTTTGTGCAATGCAACGGTACAGTGGTTGAAGCGAGACAACGTAAACAGCTTCGTTATGGCTCCACGCGTCAGTGATCAAGGTAGTGAAACTTAAGAGTCACCAGTTCATCAAGCCAAGTTCGATTGTCAGATGATTAGACATTTTTTACAGTACGATCAATACAATTGAACCTCGATATTTTGAGCTGTCAAGGCCTAAGAAAAATAACTTGAAATAGCGGAAATACTGCTCATGATGAGATACTATAATCCGACGAAACGTTTTGGAAATAGGTACACTTTAAAGAACATGAAAATATGTCACCAAAAATAACATGGGTAACACTGTTAACGTTATCTTATACCCAAATTATACATCGTGACTAGTCTTCTTAGGTTCTAAGAACCTGAACTGGCCTTTCCGGAGACTTTTAGACGGTAAAACGTAAGTGTATCGGTAACAAAGTTGAAAATCATAACAATAAAGAGTTTAGAGCAATAACTGACCTGTTTAATTGAGCTGGTTTTGCCAGTTTAAGTAATGCGATATCGTTACTGTAGCTCAGCGGATTGTTGTAAGATGGATGAGTGATCACTTTGCTTACTTGAATGTCCTGTTCAGTACCAACAAGATTAACACGTCTGTGGGCGCCAAGTCTTAAAAGGAAGAAACAGATAATCAATCGATAATCAAGAAATTAAAATGTAGCTGATGACACAGTAACTTCAAAGTATTGTCACACTAACGAAAACTGACCATGGACTGACGACTCAATGAAGGAAGTAAGGAAGGAAGGAAGAGAGAAAGAAAGAGAGAAAGAGAGAAAGAAATCGATCGATCGATCCATTCCTTGCCTGCCTGCTTGCTTGCTTGCTTCCTTTAGTCCTTTATTTTTCGGTCCGTGGCATTTTCGCCTTTCTTTAGTGTGGTAAGTCTAAATTCCCCTTCAGGAACAGTCCTAACCAAAACTTATCGAATCGGCGCTTGTCCTGTCGCAGAACTTTTTCCAGTTGTCCACATAGTTTATTGCTTGCACTTTTACAAATAATGTCAACAATGTTAAAGAACGAAGCAAAGGCTAGTAACACGAGTCCTTTAAACGTACCCATTCCAGTTCGTCTGTGTTTTGTTTTCTAGTATCTTCAACCTTGACTTGTTGCCTTGTTTGTAACCGAAGGTTTCACCGAAACAGAAAATGACGTCAAAGCACATTGCCAGATTATTCACCATGAAAAACTAATCCAGTCACACTTTTTAAATGCTATTCACTTTCAACCGCTGTCTGTCGAAACATTTTCCGGGAAAAACGCTCATGATTCAGGGAACAGCACTTGGAATAAAACATTCCAATAATTTTCAAGGCTTGTAGCCTCAGTCTTACGTTTGTCTTGCCAAAACGGACTTAAAGTCAAATGATATGAAGAATCGAGGTGTTTTGTTTTGCAAAAGCCTTATATGGGTTAAATGTGTATCGTGGAAATCCACAATATGGATATTGTTTCCATTCCCAAATTCTCATCAACAAATCAAGGACAATAGAAATGAAACGAACGAATACCAAGACTTTTGCTGTCGCGGGGGCTCTGTGGCGGCGTTTTAAAATTTCTCTCCAAGCTCCTACGAGAAAGAAATAACTTTTTCTTTTATGGGTTTCTGATTTTACTTGGCTGTCGATCGATCAGTCGAGTCCGAAGGTGCTCGTATGCCCCTATGGCTATACATATTCCTTGTTTGATTGATTGATTGTTATTTTTTAATTCTTAAACACACAATATGCACCTATCGGAGTAACGGAAACAAGGCTGAAGGCAATAATAATATGGTAATAACATGGTAGTAATAATGTGCATTTATTTTTTTCTCAGCTTTTGAGCTTGCGGAATTCTACAAATCCTACAATCTGATTGGTTACGGGAGCGGGCGGAGTTTTCCCATCCAGCCCGCCACAGCGGGCGAAACCCGTCGCGTTGATCTATAATCGTGAACGAATTAGCGGTAATCATGAATCTATTACCTTTTCAGTTTCACACTTTCATCGATGATTAATGAAAGCAAGTTTATCTCTATTCACTTTTAAATGCAAGGAAAGTCACCGTAAGTAAATTCAATTGAGCGTTTTGAAGTTGTTTGCAGCTCGGCGCTGTAATGGCGCGTAATCCTATTTATCTCTCTCTGTACAATTTTAAGTAGAAAACAAGTCAATTCCAATCGAGCGTACGTACCTCTCTGATCTTTGCTGTATTTGAGAGCATTTCTGTGGCATACACTTAGCGAATTTCCTCGCTTTCTGCTATTCAATTTTAATACGGTAGAAAAGTCTGATTTCAAGTGATTCGCAACGACGGACGGAGATTGATTTTGTAGTACAACTTCAAACTTCGTACAAAATTTCACACCGAAAAAACACTTTTGGAGAACTTAACTGATGAACTAAATGCAACTAACATAAAGTAGTTCGATATAAATTTGTTCTCTATACGGACCGACCCTAAGCCGGCCAATAACATGTATATATTTTGACAATGCCAAAGAGTTTTTTGAAGTAGGTTGCATACTCTGTGAACTCGATCGACAGCCAAGTAAAATCAAAAAGCTAATATATAGGTTTAGCCAAACTTAACAGCAGAGCTCCTGGACCGGGTTGTTCAAAGCCCGATTAAACCAACCCTGGACAAGCGAGAATTTTGAGTTTTTTCGTTTGTAACTTTGCGGTGAGGTACATACATACATACATACATACATACACACTTTATTTAGACACCGTAAAAACATCAGTTACAAGATTGAGATATATCAACAAAAAACAAAAAAAAAACTGATTTACATGTTTGCCGTGGGGGAATACAAGGAGGACATGTGGCGATTCATCTCATATCTAAAGTTAACAAAAGATCTAGTAGCTCTAACGTTAGATGGAAGGCTATTCCACAAATGTGCCCCACTGTAGCAGAAACTACGTTTCAAAATATCAATACGGGGCTTAGGCAGAGCCAATTTGTTTTCACTATTTCTAAGTCCATAGTCCATGCTGAATGGTTTAAATAGGCCTTTCAGGAACTCCGGAGACTGATCATTGAAAGTTTTAAACATTAATTTCAATTTTTCCTTTCTCCTTCTGATATAGAGATTATCCCATGCTAGCCTACCGCGGAGGGCGGTAGCACTATAAATAGTAATCAGACTTGGTGATAACCCTAATGGCGCGATTTTGTAGTTTTTGTAATTTGTCGGCTAACTCGTTGTTCGGCCTGCTGTTCTGAGTTTGAATAATCTCACAACACACAAAACGAAAGAAATGAAAAGCATTTGTATACAAGAAAAAAAAAATTATTTTGTTAACTATTAAAAAAAAACGTGACCTCAGTGAGCTCTTAACTTGAGCCCGCGAAATGGTCACGTGAACTGGTCTGCGGATACCATTTACAAGTGTCAATTGACCATAGCATGGATATCCAGTATTAAAGACGGACGCCATAAACCAAGGTTGCATGTCTCTGTCAACCTAATAGCTGGAGTGTGGCCGCCATGTTGGGCAACTCCGCCGCCGTCGTACGCGCCCACCACCAATACTGCTAGCCATGACAACCATGAGGAAATCCATTCATTTCTTTCCCACATGAGTATGAGGCTCCGCTTGGCGGCTCTTCGGGCAGCCAGAGCTCCGCTATAAAAGAAAAAGTTATATGACACAACCGTTTTGGGTATCAATATTTTACCTCACAATGATAGAGCTGGGCTGTTTTCCTCTGACACAGTGAGTGGCTGTGACCACCCACTGATCTGACACCAAGGAGCCTCCACAGTAAGGGGAACCGACAGCGGAACGACGTAACTGAACTTGCCACGGCCAGTCGCCATGTGTAGCATTGACACCGCCGACGATTCTTGATTTCGAGCGAGTGCCACAAGAACCTTTACAAGAAACGAATGCATTTGAATCACATTAAGGTACATTTTCATAGTGAAATGCTTATCTGTCTGCTTATTACGGAGGCCGGGCGAAGCCACCAAAATCATTAATTAAAATTCGAAGATCGACTTGGAAGTAGAAAATCTAAACGAAAAGACGATTTTGTAAGTTAAAAATTAAAAGTTGAGATCGAAAGTCGAATGCAAAAAAAATTAAAGAAAACAACTTGATTAAATAAGCAAAAGTTAAGAGCGCCTGTCTGTAAATATAAAAATTCCACGAAGGGAACCAAAATTCGAATTTTCCTTTATTTTGTCAAACAGACCCTGGTACAGCAATCGTTTTACATGTCAATTTTATATCTACTACTTTTCTTCCTAAAATTATACAGTGTGTTGCAGGTTTTTAGCCTTTACTACAATCATTTTGCAAATTTTCGTTCAAAGTTAAATGCAGCTCATGGATACTAAGTTAGTAAAAAAAGAAGCACGTGGCTTAATTTTGTCTACTATTTCTTGTTACCTCATTGTAACTCATTAACTTGCGATGATCATGGGATTTAACTTTCATTGTTTTTAAAACAATCAAAATCGATCCTGTAACATAACACTAGAGAGTCTCTCGCTTTGTCAGCTTGCGCAGTAATGAGCGAATATTTATTCCTGGGAAATGCGCCTTTTTCTTGAGAGCCACTCGTTAGAATTTCAGAAAATTTTGCGCGAATTGGGTTATCACAAAAAAACCCTGAAAATTAATTAGAACATCTTCAGAATAGTGTTTGCATTGCAACATTGTTACAAACTGCAAGTTTGATTCCCCCCTTTTAAAAGAGAAAAGAAAAATAATAACCGGAGATTTTAAACCAAGAAAGAAGTAATAATAAACTTTAAAGTCATCAAAGTTGGTCAAATTTTGAATGTAGAACTACTATTTATCCTCTGCACGATCGTCTGTTCACACCGATTTCTCGAGGACTGTGGTATCAATCATAAAAAACCGGCGGTCGTGGTACGAAAACGATATTAAAATTAGTAAGATTTCCAAGTTCGAGGCCACTGATGTTTAAGTGTGAGCTATCTCGAGGTTTAGAAGATAGGCTATTCCGAGTTACCTTGTGCCTCTTTTTTCCAAACAAGTCTTCGGGCAAAACTTTTCTTGAGAGTTTGATTTGCATGACTGAAAATGATCTTTTAGGCGGCACACGTTTTCACAACTTGACGTATAACAAAGTAGTAGCTCGACAGTTTTCCTTCGTTTTGTAATAGAGTGTATTTGAATTTACAAGCTTTTAAGCGGCGTGACAATAAAATGGCGGCCGGAGGCCAGGGCGCTATTGCCCAAGACAAAGCGGATGACTATTCTTTCAAGTTTTTTGCTAGCTGAAAAGTCCTTACATTAGACTAAGTATCCAGTCCAATGTGTCAAAGTTCTAGTCTTTCTGATCTGTACTGAGCTATTGAACATGCTTTATTTTCATAGGCCATCTAGCGTGATTGATTTCACAATTCCTTTCATCCAATTAGTCCTATTTATCACTAGTGCGACTCATTGTACTTGTTACTATTGTGAGCTTATTACATTAACTATTGTGACTATTGTTATTATTATTTATTTTTTATCTATTTATTTATTTATTTATTTATTTATCTATCCATTAATAGATATATATATATATATATTTATTTATATATCTATTTATTGCAATGACCGCCTCGATTAGCCTATACGCTATATGCGGGTAGGTAAATTGTAAATTTGCGATTTTTAATGGAAATAAATAAATTATACAACTGTATAATTTGAACTTTCCTAGATCTCAAGGAAAAAAAATGAACTCGTCGGAACTTTTATACAATATATTTCGAAAAAAGTTCACTGAGCGAGTCTTTATGACGAAATAATAATAATAATAATAATAATAATAATAATAATAATAA